TTCTAAATATCTCTATTCCAGCGCCATCTGGCGACTGCAAAATGTAGTAATGATCTTTTGTAATATCAACAAAAGCGGGACATAAATACGGGGTTTCCAACCACAATGCCACCAAGCAATTAATTTGGTAGCCTATGTTGAAACCAGATGTTTAAGGAATAACCTCCGAAAATTTTAATAAAACCCATTAAGTAGTTTTTAAGCCAAATTATTACAAAAACCACGGCTATCATTTTATATATTATTATTATATTTAGGGTGGTCCTTAAAATATCAACATATAAATTTCTTAATTTTGTTATTCGTACAAAATCCACGAAAATTCAAAAAAAAGGGGCCGTTAGCAGGTTTTCAAAAAGTATTTATAAAATAAAAATTACAAAAATTCAAAAAAAATGTTTACTTGAAATCTGATCAATTTAGCATATTTTAGCGATTTAAAAAAATCTTTTCTTTTGCAAACCTTGGTAGCGACCCTTAATTTTTTTTTTTAATCTTGAAGCTTTTCTGAATATCTTATTTTTGCTTGGAAATACTAGAAAACTGAAAACTAAAAAATAAATTTTTTATGGGGCACCCCTTAATATTATTCTGCGTATCAAACTTACGAAAATTTGAAAATTTAAAAAAAATTTGCGTCACTACTGGGTTTTGAAAAAATTGTAATCGAAAAAATGCAAAAATTCGAAAAACTCGTTGACATTAAATCCGATTATATTAGCATAATATTGAAACTAGCAAAAGTCGAAGTTCTGTCGCATATTCACGATTAAAAAAAAAATATTTTTTCTTCAAATCCTGGTAGCGACCCCTATTTTTACCTTCCTTTTATTAGCTCGGGATGTAACATCAATATTAATGCGCCAAAAAGATGCAGCGATTTTTATACTCAAGTTACATACCTGATGACAGTACGAATCAATTATAATAGGGAGGTTTTAGTTTTTTAAACTATGATTTTATTGTTTTAATTTTGAAACTCTTGTGGATATCTTAATTTTTTACGTAGACCCCTATTTTTAATGTACACCCTAATGTATACACACTCATACATAGATAAGGGCAAATTACCCAGTCTTAGTCCTTAGGATCTTTGCTTTTAGGTTGTGTTAAATGACTCATAGAGTATTATGATATTATTTTGGTACAAAGTATGTTTGATTTCACTGTGATATTACATACATAGTACATTTTCCAATAAGTACAAACAAAAACTCATCATGCACTAAATGCGTTGCAAGCAAAAATAGTATATATAAAATGCAAAGTGACAAAAAAGTTGTCTGAAAGTGTCCTGCAATGTGCACGACAACTGCTGCGAACATTCAATGTGGATTGATATGTGAGTGGCACGAAAGTGGAGCAGGTCGACAAGCTGTTGAAAGATGAGACCAATGAATGGTGAAAATTACAAAAGAGAAATTTCTAAAAAAGGAAACGGAATATGGAATATGAAAAATGTAAACCTCCTTTCGGCCAGGTTCATAAACTCATTTTTTCATACGACTCACATAAACACTTTAGTAGAGCACACAAAGAGATTGTTAACCTACATAAGCAAACACAGACTAATGTAGACATAGATTGAAGTTTATACACAAAATAACCTGCCTTTGCAAAGTAAAAACCTACATGGATTTTTAGGAAAGTGCGTGTCACATGCGGTCAGGCTCATTGGGAATATGCCAAAGGAATTAATAGAGCGAATGGACAGGTCGGAGATAGAGCGAGATGGCGTTACAGTGTGATATCAAAGTGCGAACACTAAAACTAAATGTCAGTAACAGAGAATTGTTATGGGATATATGTATGTATATACATACAACATATTTACGATATGTAATAAGTAATTAAATGTTTTTAAACGCAACTTCAACAGCAGACGGAAAAAGTTTCCTAGACACACACATTTACACACGTATGCACACTCACTCGTACATAATCGTACATTAGAAAAAGGTTAATGGGTGCGAATGACTGAAAGTGAACACGTGGCTGTGAATAATTCAAAAATTGTTGGCTGTCTGAGCACCTGATTTCGAATGCGTCGTCTTATGGCAGACAAAAAGCAATCGAAGTGAAATCAATTGTCGAGGAGTAATGAAAATATGTAAGTGGAAGTATGAAGTGAAAAAATTAGAAAGAATTGTAATTGTTGAAACACAGATAAACGTTAAATTAAAAGGGAGCGCCCTGAACTTAACCTTTTTAATGGACTCACGTACATACACAGCTGCATACGTACATATGTACATACATAAATATGTATTGATGTTATGTCTAGCAAGAGCAAAAACAAAAGGGCGGTGGTCAATTTGGGTGGACGAGTAGATAAAAGTAGGTGGTATTTTTCAATGGGTGTGGAACAATATGTGATTTCCCATGTGTATCGTAAATATGTATACACCCAGCAAAAACTTTTATTTTTTTAGTAAGCGCTTACTTTTTGTATCGATTGAGTAACGCATTACAATACGCCTCAAGACAAAATCTTGCTCGTTTAACCGCTGCATTACCTGTTTTTTAAATTTTTTAAATTTCTCGCTTATCACTAATGACATGCCCAGGTTAAAGTAATGTGTTCTGTTAACTAGAAGGTATGTGCTGAATTACTTTCGTAAAATGCTTACCAATCGAGATACACCACTCACCTTCTAGTTTACAGAACGCATTACTTTAACATGGACATGTCATTGGAGGTAAGCGACAAATTTAAAAAATGCAGTGGGTAAACGAGAAAGTGAAAAAATTTGTTTTGGGGCGTATAGTAATCATCAATACAAAAAGTAAGCGCTTTCCAAAGAATCAAAGTTTTTGCTGGGTATATACATATGTACATATGTTGAGGGATGGTAATAATTAAGGTAGTTGAGTTCAATAAAAGCAAATTTTTACGTAGTGGAGTGGGAACAATTAACTTTCACTTAACACCGGGCGACAAAAACAAAACAAATTCCAAACAAATGAAGAAATCAATATACACACGAAACTATGGGCCAAATAAATATAGTAAAACTGCGGTTTTAGTTTTTATCTCAAATCTAAGACACAATTCTGTTGAATTTAAAAAAATTCAAATATTTTGGTTTACGAGGATGAACAGGTATTGAAAAAGCCCTTTTAGTAAATTTTATTTTTTAAAGCTTATAAAGTTAAAGAGACGAAATTCGAGGATGTGTCGAGTTTACATTAGTCCTTAACATATAATTTTTTCAAAATTAAACATTGCAAAATTTGAACGAAATTGAAGGAGATGCAAATTCGAAGTTGGCTTTTAGTATCTATTGAGGTATACTTCCATAAAATAATAATAAATACAAAATAAAGCAAAAGGTAAATGATGAAAAAAATTTAAAATGTCGCGTCCCTATTTATATGTTCGCCACTGTAAGTATGCTACAACAGCAATTTATTTAGGTTGACAACTCGTATTACGCTTTCCAACATCAGATTGAAGAAATCGTACGAAACTGAATCACCTGGATTAAAATTTCATTTAATCTCGAATAACGTGCAGGGGTTAGTTCCAATTTGTACGGAGCTAAAAGTTCTAGATATTCTAATGAAACTGATTCAAATGTATCTTTTCGGAATGTGAAAGACGCTTCAAAAAGTGAATTACTCAAAATGGAGGTATCGCAAGGCGCCTGCCTGAAGCTCCTTTTGGCATTATCGTTCAACTTCACTTCGTTTAAAAACTTTTAATAAAGCTACCGGTTCTCTTCATAATAAGCATTGTCTCTACTACAAATATTTTTGCTTCTGAATGTAGACCATGTTCCTCTACTCCTTAATTATCAAAAAAAAGTGATTGCCTACGGACTCGTACTAAAGGACTCGATTGCTCAAAAAAATTTAATTGTAATATACAGTGGGGCGAAAAAATGCCAAAATGGTATTTTTCTTAGTATTAACATGTTTTTCATATTAAAACATATTCCTTCATGTTTGATTAAAATATTGGCCATGCTATGGCTAAAACAGATTTTAACAAAGTTTTAAACCAAAGAAAAAAATAAGAAAGTTTTTCCCATTTGCATCAAATTTACTAACTTTTTGATATGTATTTGTAAAACACTTCTGCAGTCGTATAGCCTATCAAAATTTAGCATAATAAAGTGTAAGTTTGAAGACTCTAGAAAATCGCGTTGATTTTTATTTCTATATCGAGCCCTAACCACCAAAAAAACGTAACCGACATATTTTTCAAAATTTTTCTTTTTTATGCAGAAATGCCCATAGAGCATCTAGATGCAATTCAGCATCAAAGAAATATTTAAAAAAAAATTTCGCTTAGGTTTTTTTGGCGGTTGGGTCCCGATATATATATTTTACTCCCTAAAGCACTTTTATTTCTTAAAGCATTTTGTTAGAATCTTTAAACTTGCACCCTATTATGCAAAAATTTCATGGGTTATAAAACTTTCTTACTGAGAAGTTTTTTACAAATTGATATCAAAAAGTTAGAAAATTTGAAGCATTTTTCAATATTTTATTTTTTTGGGGTTTAAAACCTTAATTAAAGCTGTTTTAGCTATAGCATGGAAAATATTTAAATCAAACATCAACCAAAAGGTTTAAATATGAAAAACATGTTGATATTAAAAAAACTAACCATTTTGCTCCCCACTGTGCATAGATTAGGGTGGTCATCAAAATATCAAATCAAACTTTTGTATGAGGCAGCCATGTACTTTGTTCGACGTACAAAATAAAGACGTCCACGAGAATTTAAAAAATTTTTAAAAATTTTAGGGCCGCTACCAGAGTTTTGAAAATATTTAATTTTTTTACCTAAAAGCACAAAAAAGACCATTAATCTAAACAAAAACTTTCCAAATATAAGTGAAAAAATGCGTTTTGAGTTCAACAAGGCCATACTATTTAACTCTCCTTTTACATAAGCTTCTTGGTATTCTTTTCAATTTAAATATTTATAAACCATATTAAGAACCACCCTAACTTACTCTGACATATTTCTAATAACTTCAAATACTTACCATTTAATAATTTAATATGTAACATTGGTTTCCATATACAGACGCTGTATGACTGCTACCCCTGTTGTTGTTGTTGTTTTTTTTCAACTGACACTATTGTTTACACATCTTCCAGAGCAGTCATTTCCGTTAGTGACACTCTTTCCTACTCCCACAGCTTTTTTGTGTCTGTATTCTTTTGTTTTTGTTTGCAATGTGTGATTGTTTCACTCGCTTATTGCTTGCTTCTAATCTGCTTGGTTAGCGTTTAAATAATCGCTGAGATTTATCATTCTTTCACTTCGTTCCCCGCAAGCCACTTACATATGTACATATATACACTTGTGTGTCCATTGTGTCTAGCGCAATTTTTCAGCACAACAAATTACTACTTCCTTAATCTTTTGGTTCGTTTCGTTAATAATCATTTCCCATTTTTCCACGCTTTACAGTGGTACGCTTTTCACATTGTCTACTTGACTCATACATACAAATCTTTATATCTAACTATACATACATATGTATTTTTGTTACACAAATCACAAACACTTTCTTGTTCGAGTGAAGCCAACATCCGCTGAGTTTTGCTGCACATATTAAAAAGAGACAGTTGAAAGCATTGCGTTGGGATAGATCGAGAACCAGTACCGCCTCTTTAAGAGCTAGTTCTGCGCTAGTTCTGAACTAGAGCGATTTACTGCAGGGCCCTGCAGTAAAATTTAGAGACAGTCTGTTAAAGCGCTAGTTCCACCCTATACATTTCAGAACTATCTCTGAGATAGTGCAAAACGGATGCAGAGAGGGACAGTTGAAACTTTTGGTGTGCTAGTTGCGCTCTGTTGAGAAGTAAATGCACATATTCTCACTTCTCGTACAATACTACAATAGCTCAGCGGGAAGACCTCCGACTCTAACATCGCTGGTCGCGAGTTCAAATCGCGGTGTAGGCAGTTGTGATTTTCAAATTTAATAAATTTGAATTTTTAAGTACCGCTAAAAAATTTAAGAGAAAATGATCAAATTTAATATAAATACAATAAAAAAATTAAATAAAATGCAATCTGTACAGAACGTAAAAAATTTAAAAATAATCAAAATTTTGTTCATAAAAAAACTAATTGTCGCAGATCTCTCCAAAATGGGAACAGTTCAGAAAAGAAAAAATATCTAATAATCTAGTTTTAAATTTTTTTCTCATAAAAAACTCATTGACCCCGAACTGTCTAAAAAAAAACCAGTTCAGAACTAGTTCGAAAGTTCTGCAGAGGTGGCAATTTTCACTTCGTAGGACATCGCCATTTAAAAAGAGACAGTTGAAAGCATTGCGTTGGGATAGATCGAGAACCAGTACCGCCTCTTTAAGAGCTAGTTCTGCGCTAGTTCTGAACTAGAGCGATTTACTGCAGGGCCCTGCAGTAAAATTTAGAGACAGTCTGTTAAAGCGCTAGTTCCACCCTATACATTTCAGAACTATCTCTGAGATAGTGCAAAACGGATGCAGAGAGGGACAGTTGAAACTTTTGGTGTGCTAGTTGCGCTCTGTTGAGAAGTAAATGCACATATTCTCACTTCTCGTACAATACTACAATAGCTCAGCGGGAAGACCTCCGACTCTAACATCGCTGGTCGCGAGTTCAAATCGCGGTGTAGGCAGTTGTGATTTTCAAATTTAATAAATTTGAATTTTTAAGTACCGCTAAAAAATTTAAGAGAAAATGATCAAATTTAATATAAATACAATAAAAAAATTAAATAAAATGCAATCTGTACAGAACGTAAAAAATTTAAAAATAATCAAAATTTTGTTCATAAAAAAACTAATTGTCGCAGATCTCTCCAAAATGGGAACAGTTCAGAAAAGAAAAAATATCTAATAATCTAGTTTTAAATTTTTTTCTCATAAAAAACTCATTGACCCCGAACTGTCTAAAAAAAAACCAGTTCAGAACTAGTTCGAAAGTTCTGCAGAGGTGGCAATTTTCACTTCGTAGGACATCGCCATGTAAAAAGAGACAGTTGAAAGCATTGCGTTGGGATAGATCGAGAACCAGTACCGCCTCTTTAAGAGCTAGTTCTGCGCTAGTTCTGAACTAGAGCGATTTACTGCAGGGTAATTAATCAATCATAATTAAACTAACACATGCAATCATAATTAAACTAACACATGCAATCATAAATAAAGGTAGGTGTATATGTATGTGCTGCTTTACGAACATATTTATTTATCTTCCTGCTCTTGGCAAATGATGTCACTTTAGCTTTGTTGTTAGAATTCAACCAGCTTGCACTAAAGTTCCGTTTGACTGGCTGTTTGCGATATTAATACGCATGCAGACGCTATTGAAAAATTGCTTGTGCGAATACTTGAACGTTGCATATTTCTAGGACCGTCTCTTAGTTTGTGTGTAGCTTAGCAAATTGATGCCACCCATTCTGTTTGTTTATGTTTTGTTTATGGCACTGTTTCTAAGTTCACTTCGTTGTAGTCTGCTTTGGTGCAAAAAAAAAAAAAAAAAATTATTCGTTTGCGGTGCGTGAGTAAATTATTCAAAATTTTCTCTTTATTTTACGCATTCATATTTATGTACGTATGTCTGTATTTGTTTCATTTATTTAAGTGCATGTAAAAGTTAGTGTTAGTGATGTTATTGATTTTTCTGCAATTTCATGTGATTTATATTTTCTTTATGTATTTTGATTTATACATTACTTGCATTTGAAAACAAAAACAACCTAGTTTTCCATTAATTAGGTCGTAAATTATTTTTTGTAAATAAAATTTAACAACTCCAATAAAGTACTTATCTTGCCAGTAAAAAATTAGTATGTGGCTCATAAATAAAATTATAGAAATTAGTATGCAAATGAAATAATGATATTTGAAGAGACTTTCTTCATAACTGAAACTTGATTGTTACTAATTTTTTTGGAGTTTGAGATAGCCGAGGGTAATAAATGAATTGTGTTGTTGTTATTCTTGTAGTGGGTACATAAGCCCCAAGGTCAAATCTCGATAATAATAATAATAATAACATAGATTGGCGCTTACACATATGTCAGTGTTTGGCCACGTTTATCCTCCGATTTGTGGCGTGCGCCTTGATGTTACTGTAGGGACCTACAGCCTTGCGCCGACGCCTAACGGTGTATAATTAATTAAAAAAATAATTGTTTAAAAAATGCTATTTTTTATTGCGAAAAATTATTTATTTAAATCCATCCCATACCCTTATTTAAAGGCAAGGTAATTACGCACATTTGCATTTCATTTTATTACTTTTATTAATTAATGCATTGGCACGGCAAGATTAAGAAATCGTTTGTAGTGCAACAGTAATTTATTAACAAAAAAAAAGAAATATAAAATAAAATAAAGGAAAGGAAAATATTGAATTAAAAAATTAAATTAAATTTAAAAAAATATAATTTTATTTTTTAAACAATGAAATCTAAAAATCAAAAATAAATTAATTATAAAAAGAAAGAATTTAATCCAAAAAGAGGAAAATAGTACTTAAAAACTAAATGAAATAAAAAAATATATATTTTTATTTTTAAACCAAAATCTAAAAACTAAAAAGATCTAAATTCAAAAAAAAAACAAAAAAAAAACAAAATAAAATAAGATCCTCAAAAATTAAATGAAATAAAACAAATACATTTTTCTTTTTAAAACAATACAGCATACAAATTAAAAGAAAATGAAGGGGAACCAAACTAAATTAACGAAAAAGGAATAAACAAAAAAGTTTTTAAAAATTTAATGATTTGAATTTAAACAATAAAATATAAAAATTACAAGAATATTAAACTAGAAAAAAAATACTGAAAAAAGAACAATAATGTAGGTTCCTAAAAATTTAACACAATTAAAAAGAAATATTTTAAAGCAATAAAATTTAAAAATTCAAAGAGAATCAAATAAAAAAAGAAAAAAGAATAATTAAAAGAAGTCATTTTTAAGCAAACAAGTAGTTTTTAATCAAAAAACGAAACCAATTTCAATTCTCATATAAAAATCTATGAGTAGATACCGTTAATTTCTTCGATCCAGTGATCATATCAAAAATCAATATGGGACCACCTCTGAGGTACCAATTTTCCTTAAAAAAATAATAATTTTAGAAATTGGTTAACGTGGTCCAAATTGTCTGTGTCAATTTATCGATTTTATCAAACCGATTGTTGACTTTTGGTGTATTGATTTTATCTCTCACCTGTGAGGTAACACGTTTCCTTAAAAAAAAAATTATAGAAATCGGTTAACGTGGTACAAAGTTACGCGGTAACGTACCTAAAAAAAACTAAAGAAAAAATATTCCGACGAATTGATAACTTTTCTCCTTTTTACCTTCCTTTTATTAGCTCGGGATGTAACTATGTAATATTGATGCGCCTAAAAGATGCAGCGATTTCTATTCTCAAGTTACATACCTTATGACAGTACGAATGGCAATTATAATAGGGAGGTTTTAGTTTTTTAAACTATAATTTTATTATTTTGTATTCGGTTAAAAAATAAAATAAAAATTGGTGTGGGAAATCTAATGCCAATTTCGTTTCTACCGAAAAATGCAACCTTCTCTTTGTTCTCTACGAACAAACACTAAGAAGAGGGGGATGAGAAGGCAACATTTTTTGGAGAAACGAAATCGCCATAAATGAATTACGTACGCATTAGGGTGGGTAAATTTATCTGGGAGATGTTTTCAACTATGCGCGTTTAGCACAAGTGGGACCCTACGCAAATTTGCCGAAGTAACCATGAGTCAAAAATCAATTTGTAGTTTGGCAAAGTGCAAAAATAGGTTTCTTAGCATTTTGCTGTAGTGCCATAAAGAAGTGCTTGAATTTTGTATAACAACATGCTATAAGGGGTTTGTTGGTATGAGGAATGCATTTCTGCACTTATCATTTTCTTAAAACTTCCACCAGAGGGTGCAACATTAATCATTTTCACATTTTTTTCGAAACCAATTTTGCCAATTTGGCGAACTCTAAATTGATTTTAGACCCTTGGTTTTTCGGAAAATTTGCGTAGAATCCTCCTTTGACTTACGCGCATAGTCAAAAAAAAAATACCCACCCTAGTATGCATGTTTTTGACGCTGACTGTAGATATTTCGTCAGTACCCATTTTAGTAAATGCGAGAGAAAGAAAGAAGGAGCGTGAGGTGAATATCTTACCCAATAAAGTAATGGCTGAGTAATATTTCTTACAAAAAAAAACAATAATTCGCAACAAGGAAGGAAGTTAATAATTCAAATTTTCTTTATAAAATGTGTCTTAACTTCCCTTAGTAACTAACATACTAAGCATCATATTTTTCAATAAGTGCAAAATTCAGTCGAACCGAAAAATGTTTAAAAGTTTAGATAGAATTAGATGCAGAGAATAGATAGCCGCGTAGTATGAGGGATGCACTACTACCTAAAGATCTATTCAACCCTCTCCTCCTTTAGGCATTCAGAAGATCGCTTGTGGTTAAGAAGTATAAGTACATATGTATGTACTTTCGCTATGACCATAAGGGGCAAACCAATTTCTCGCGTCTTCTTGAGACGACATCGCACTGCAGAAGTAGCT